TCACAGGGTCCCAAGAGTGCTTTTAGCACTGAGAATGTACAGTCATGCACCGAATAGTGTTTTGGTCAACTGCATACATGATTGTGATCCCATGGTAAGATTATAATGCTGTATCTTTACTGAACCTTTTCTATGTTTAAATATGTTTAGATACACAAATACCTTTGGGTTACCATTGCCTTACATAATTCAGTACAGTAACATGCAGTACAGGTTTGAAGCCTAGAAGCAATAGGCTATGCCCTACTATTCTAGGTGCGTAGTAGGCTACCTCTAGGTTTGTGTAAGTACAGTCTATCACGTTAGCACAAGAAATCTCCTAGTAACACTTTTCTCAGAACATAGCACTGTCGTTAAGTGAGGTATGACCGTACTTGAATCACCAGGACTAGGATGGAAGGCTGCACACTGTAACCCACCCTGCTTCCATCCAGTTCTATCAAGTCTAGACTTCTCTTTTTCCCCTTTTAGATGAAGGAAAGAGGTTTAATATTAGAAATCAAACAAGACTCAAAATTGGGAAATGTCACAACTTTGTCACTTGGGGCAAATCATTTGATCTCTCAGTCTGTTTCCTCCTCCTTAAAATGAGGATGTTGGATTGTTTTCATGTCTGAAAAAAGAGGATGTTGAGGATGATCAGTACGGGTGCTTCTGGCTCTATAGGCTATTGCTCTAGGAGGAAGCAGTGGAACTGTGCTCCCCTGTCACTGTTAAGAGGATAGATTTTCAATATGACTGGTGGCTATCCTCATTTTTTAACAAGCATATCTATCGGACAGCATTTGTAATGGTAAATGACAGAAATTGGTTAATTTGAGCAAAACAGGGATTTATTAGAAGGCTTTGGGGACTGGCTCCAGGATCAATTTGGTGCAGGTACCTTATTACAGTAGATGTGATCCCACCCTCTTCCAGGGGCTTTCCATGATTATATCACTGGCACCACAGTAAGCATCTGGACAAGAGTTTTTTGCTTGCTTTTTCTTTTCTTTTCTTTTCTTTTTAGGTTGGTCTTTCTTTCTTTCTCTCTCTCTTTCTCTCGCTCTCTTGCTTACTTATTGAGATAGAGTTTCGCGCTGTTGCTCAGAATGGAGTGCAGTGACATGATAGTGGCTCACTGCAACCTCTGCCTCCTGGGCTCAAGCAATCCTCCAGCCTCAGCTTCCTGAACAGCCGGAAATATAGGCATGTGCCATCACACCCAGCTAACTGTTGTATTTTAAGTAGAGACAGGGTTTTGCCATGTTGCCCAGGCTAGTCTCAAATTCCCCGGCTCAAGCTAGCTTTGGCCTCCCAAAGTGCTGGGATTACAGGTGTGAGCCACCACGCCCAGCCTGGTTCTTTTTGTAGACAAAGTCTTGCTGTATTGCCCAGGCTGGAGTATAGTGGTACGTTCATAGCTCACTGCAACCTGGAACTCCTGGGCTTAAGCGATCCTCCCACCTCCATACCACCATGCTCTGCTAATATTTTAATTTTTTGTAGAGCTGACATCAGGCCATGTTGCCCAGGCTGGTCTTGAATCCCTGGCCTCAAGTGAACCTCCACACCTTGGCCTCCCAAAGTGCTGCGATTACAGGTGTAAGCCTCTCTGTCTGGCCTGGGCAAGAGGTTAAGTAGGTGAGTCATTGGCATATATCTTAGCTGTGCTGGGTGTTGGTAGGGCAAAGATAAGATTTCCTCCAAAGGGAGAGTGAGGGCTGATGGAAAAAAGGGTTCAGTGGCAGACAGCCAAGAAGATATCACATGTTTATGGCCAAGAAGTGTTTGGAATTCAGCCAAGTGGAGATTTTAATAGTATATCTAGACACTAATATCTCTACACTGAAGTTGTTGCTATATTATTGTTATCACTATTTAGTGGCAAAGGGCTCATATTCTGAAATCACAGAGGCCTAAGCCTGAATTCCAGCTCTGCCCCATAGTAGCTGTGACTTTGGGAGAGTAAATTACTACTTTCACACTGCAAGTCTCAGTTTCCTCATCGGTAATGTGGGCATGATGTTAATACTGACCTTACAGGATTGATACGAAAATTAAAGGCCATAACATATTCAAAAGAGCTGAATGCAAGGCCTGACTCATAAAATTTTATTAGGCCCCTAGTGGTTTTTGTGCATTATTTCATGTAATCTTACAACTATTTGACATAATAAATATCGAGCTCCCTCACCTCCCTTTACAAAAATAGAAACTGAGGTTACAACTGAGAAACTTGTTTGAGGTCACACAGCTGTGTGACAAAACTGTGCTTCTGGTCCAGCTCTGCCAGACTCAGAACCCCAGGGTCTTAACCATACATTTAAGCGTCTCCTGGAAGAGTCAACTCTTCCCCATCCTGCACAGCCCCATTGCTGTGTGAAAGGCTCACTAATCCCCTGCTGCACAGCTCCTGAGAGTTGTCCTTTTTAGAAAAAATGAGGAGACACTGGCACCCCGAGGCAGTAGGATTTTCCTTCTTTCTTTCTTTCTTTCTTTCTTTCTTTCTTTCTTTCTTTCTTTCTTTCTTTCTTTCTTTCTTCCTTCTTTTTCTTTTTTGAGATGGCATCTAGCTCTGTCACCCAGGCTGGAGTGCAGTGGTGCGATTTCAGCTCACTGCAACCTCCGCCTCCCGGGTTCAAACGATTCTCCTGCTTCAGCCTCCCCAGTAGCTGGGATTACAGGCAGCTGCCACCACGTCCAGCTACTTTTTGTATTTTTAGTAGAGATGGGGTTTCACTGTGTTTGCCAGGCTGGTCTCGAACTCCTGATCTCGTGATCTGCCCGCCTCGGCCTCCCAAAGTGCTGGGATTACAAGCATGAGCCACTGTTAATTACTATTTGTTGTGTTTCCCACTAACCTCTCTGACAATTCTATTTCAACCTGCATTCTCCAATCACTGTAATTAGATATTTGAGAATTGTGTTGCATTTCAATCACGGTAACAATAATGGTAGTATTTTATTAATAAATTCAAGTAAAAACTGAAGATGACAGTGTATGATACATAACAAACGACATCAACTTCGCATCACCTAAAGATACAACTTCACTGTTATTCTTGCGGAAATCTAGATTGTATATTGGACATAGGAATTAAGATTACTGTACTTGAACTTTTTTGTAACTAACAACTTTATTGAGATATAATTTGGGTACAAACTCATACCTGAACAACTTTTTAGATTTTTTTTCTAGCCCTTTTTTCTCTGTACTTTCAGTTTTCTTTTAAAAAGGTCTATACTATTCAAGAAACACAACTTTTAAAGTCCACAATAATTCTTGTTAGATTTTAATAATACTTATCTCCCCCCAAGCTTTATTGAAATACTAATGACATTCATTTTTAAACCACTTTTCATCGTAAGAGAAATACAAATTTTCCTATTGATTCTTATGGACAAAAATCAAGTTTTTGTGGTACCGCTATACATTAGTAGTATGTCCAGCCAGTTTCAAAAGAAATTAGTCATGTTTCCAACATGCAACTTGTATATCACAGTACCTTGCAATTGGGCGGCACAAACAACTATTACTTGTACAAAACCTCCCTGAAAACGACTAAATGGAAAAGCAGATGGCTTGAAACAAGGAATAAGTTTGTCTTTTTAAAAAGCGTTTTTCACAATTCAGTCGAGATGTGGGGAGGGTTTCCCCACTTGTGGCTCTGCACAGCGTGCGCGCGCGTCTGTCCTGGGGTCCCCTCCCTGCGGGGACGAGGCCGGGGTCCCTGCGCGAGCCCAGCGGACCCGGGCAGTGCAGGGGTCCGGCCGCCGGCCGCAGGGGCACAGGGACAGCAGCCGCCAAATCCGCGGGGCCGGGGGGTCAAGGAGACTATCCTTTCCCTTTCACACTGCAAGTCTCAGTTTCCTCATCGGTAATGTGGGCATGATGTTAATACTGACCTTACAGGATGGACAAGTACAATGCAAGGGAAATTTGTGTGAGTGGAGTATGGCGCCTAAACCATCAAGACAGGAAGGCAGGAACAGCAGAAGGGCAATGGGAAG